TCGCGGCCGAGGATGGGTGTCGCGCGCGCTCGCCGGAAGAGAATCAATTACGAGCTTTTAGTCTCGTTAGTTCGCGCGTCGAGGTGACACGACGACGTGTCATCTTTCCTTTTAAAGATAGAAAGGCTATTAATAAATGTCACGCGTAGATAAAGTCGTCCACCTAGCGAACAACCAGCTAGATCCTCGCACACGCCACGCTCTTTCCTGTTAAAAATATTATTTAACACCTGCTGGAAATATTTTTAACCCGTGTCCTGTTAACCATCAACCTTTCTTCTTTTTCCTTTTCTCTAAAAGAAACTTTGAAATCGAAAACGCGAATCGTTTAATATCAGAGGAACGAGACGGAAACATTTTTAATGGCGACCACGTGTGAAAGACGAGCAGATTCAGCAATAAGTCAACATGCAAGGGTGGTATACCGGTTGAAATAAATAAATTAACGTTGCGCACGAGAACGAAAATATCTGCTTCGAAACAGAGGATTAATAATCCTGTCGTTCTACCGGAAAGAGGGACGTAGGAGAGTAAGAAGGGAAAAGATAGAAGAAAATTTAAGAATAAGAAGAAAGTAGAAAATGAGGAGAAGATGAAGAAGGAAGGAGAAAGTCTGGTGGAGTGTGGTAAGGATGGTGAGGAAAGGAGAAGGCGTGATCCAGAGTCTCTGGAAGATGATGCACGAGCTTGCGGGGATGACAGCCGCATCCGGTACTATCCGGGACACACGGAGAAATGCATTTTCTCGGGGTTTATTTAACTGCGCCGCGCCAGACGATAGAGCGTCGCCACTGTTTCCCAGCTAATGCGTCTTACCCAGCTTTCTCCATAGCTTTTCTTTCTTTCTCTTTTGCTTCGATTCACCGTTCACTGTTCCGTCAGAGTTTGAACAGAGCAAAATACCGCACCGCGAGAGGATGACGCACTGGCAGTTGAAATTGTTAGATATAGTATTAAAATTAGAGAGAAAAGGCAACTATTATTAAAAAAAAAAGGAAAGACAAATATTAAAATGAAAGCACAAACGGTCGCGAAACACTTATGCTCCAAATTTATAGTCCAACAAACAAAAAGATCGTTACACATACATGTGTACGTATAAGTATTCAGACATTGTGTTCTGGGAAATGTAATTCAGCGTTTCACCGGCATCGCACCTATCTCCATTAAACGGCTAATAACGCACCCGATACGTCGTCAACCCTGTCGAGGCTCTCCATAAATCTTTCACCGTTGCATGGACGATTTTCCGCGAAGCCTCGTAAACACGTGATCCGAGGGAGGAATCGCGTGGCGATTTAATTGCGAGGCGGCGTTACACGACGAGCCGTCGACAGGGCCCTCTCTAAGCTCGTTTATTTCTGGCCACGGTGCTGGTTACTCGCATGTTAAATGTTCTGTCTGCGTTCGAGGATCGGTGCGGCATCGTCGTGTCAGCGGCGTTCACTGGCTGATTCGTTCGATTAACGTCGGGGATGGCAACGTCTGTTTCGCGGCACGATCAAAGCGGTTCGTAGATCCTGTCTGACGACGACGACGACTACGACGCGACGGTGTCTTTTCTCTGTTGCATCTGGATCATTTGCCCGGTCGTTTCGGTGGCCGGTTTTTCGGTTCTCGTTCCCAGAGGATGGACGCGGGTGCACGTGTTTAATAAGGCCGGGAACAAATTGACGCGAGTAAATCAAACGAGCCAACGCGGCTATTTGTTTTTCGGAATCGTTCCGCTCGTTGGCTGGAAAGGGAGGAAGAAGGAGGAGCGGTTCTCGGATGAGCACAGTAACCTGTTTGTCTGACGGGAATGCTGATGGGGTCAGAGGAATATTTAAAGCTTGACAAATGTACCGCTTTAATCCTGGCGGGATGGTTAGCGGTTAATATAGACTTCCATAGCTCTGACCGTTTTGACGACTCGATTAAACACCGCATGGCATCGATGCAATTAATATATTTTTCTAGAAACCAAATGATTAGCCTTTTGAAGATTGAATTTTTTTAAGTTATGTAGAAAAAATTTTTATCGGTTTCTGATCGTAGAAACACATGCTTTTTGAGTCTTCTTTTGTAAAAATTCAGATCATAATTTCACCGACGATGAATACTATGGTTACGATAACGATTGCCACATCTGTTACAGCATCTACGTATTAACTAATTAGGTCGAAGTAGATTAAATCTCGTATCATATAGTAGTACTTTTATACGATTTTAAAAACACGATACTCGTTTGAAAAACGTTTCATTGGCAAATGAGGTTACGCGCCAGTACTTTTTCGTATGTATATTTATCGTTTAACGAATTCAGTTACGTAAAGCATGAAAGGATTATTCAATAAAATCTCCCAATTTCGCTTCCATAGCACATGTCTCAAATAACATCTGAGTTATATCATCTATTCTATAACCATCATAACTGCCTTGTATAAACTCCAATTAACGTACCATATACGTGTACGTATAATTCTGAAACCGAAAAATATCGGACCGACGAATTAAAATAATCGGAAACCATGATCGAGGTTCGACGAGAGGCGAACATCAGGTTGGATTTGTCTTCCTTTTTTTTTTTTTGGTGTCGCGAATTGGGACGTTGTTAACGTTGTCGAAGACTTAATTGCTCGTTGGAGAATTCCTTTGAACTTGTACGTGAGCTGGGCTCATTGTGCGCGCGTTCGTCGCCGGTACACGCCGCGGCGTGCGTCCCTTTCATAAAATTCGTCACGTTCCGGTTTATTACGATTCAATCTCGGGGAAACGCCGGTGCTCTTCGCGACGACAAAAGACGCAGCTCGAGCCGCATGCGAGCAGACGGATCGGGGAAATTCGCGACTCGTTCCCCGTTCGCTACGTGACGAAATAAACGCGTCCGCCTCTGCGTCGGGTTCGTTTTATGCCTGCTTGTTTCTCGCAGTCTGCACGATGACGTTCAATTGTGAATTAACATTTCGAGAGCCAGAATGAAAAGACGTTTAGAACACGTGAATCCTCTGCATAATTTTTGCGTTGGATCGGCGAAAGAAACGGCAGAAGAGCGCATAAGAGCGCATAAGAGTTCTCGTGAAAGAGAATTTTATACGATTAAAATATGTAGAACGTTTGGGTTAAGCATTAAAGGTGGCCATTGTTACCATTGTGCTCTTTAGAATTCGTTTCTACCATTTTTAATGTTATAAAATGACGTTCTTTTAAATAAAACTTCAACCACACGTACTTTCTTCAAAACTTCATGTATTTAACGAAAATTAATTTTATAGAGGGAATTTCATGCATTCATCCCGTCGTTTAATTAGTTTCAATTTTATTTTTTCAACGGCTTCTGGCGATTTTGTTTGAATTTAATCTTTAGTAGAAAAATCGGCTGAATATTCTGATTATTCGTATCGACTGGAGAGCGAAATTCAAATATTTCTCTTGTAATACTTGGTGATATTTGACGTCCAAATTGGTTTTGCAATTAAATTTTAACGAATGAACCGCAGCCCTGGTTAAACGACACGTAAAGTATGAATTATTAAAAAGCTAGAGAAGATATTTTTCCTCGAGATATTGAAGCAAGAACAGTTGTACAAAGAGAATATATAGTAGATTAGGAATGAAAGGAAGGACCAATTCCTTTTGGATAGGGACACGTGTTTGCGATGCAACGGACCAGGAACGTCAGAAATGGATCGTTCGCAAAGGGAAATCGCTTTTTAACGGCTTCGAAATGTCGAAGACGCGAACAAATAATGTGCGAAGCGACGAGATCTGTGGAAGATGGCGCTCGCCACGGAAGCGACCTGAGAACGAAGACAACCGGAAGCCCATCTGTTCGCTCTATTTCTCTGCGTAATGACGCGTTGATGGCTCGATATCGCGCCGCACTGTCGTAAAATGTTCCCAGTGACGTTTAATTTTCTCGTTGACAACCAACAAAATATAACTTAGGTAGGTAAACGAAACTTCAATAGTAGAATATCGTGATATTTTCTACAGAATTCTCGAACTAAATATGTTTCCTCTCGAGAAGAAAAGCAAAAAATTAGAAGAACAGATACTCGTACATTTCGAACTAATCGAAAGTTGGTCTACTTGAAAACGTTGATTTATATACCGAGTGTGTTGTTTGCTTTCCAGCACGAAATCACGTTGAAGTTTCGTGTTGGTGGATAATTATCGACCGATTAGAGTGTCGTTAAATGATGAATCGCACAAAGCCACGATGAAACATCAATATTCCGCGCAAATATTTTGAAAAGAGCAGGATTTCTTTTGTAAATCTGAGATTCACGATTATCTCGCTCGTAGACGTGTCAAAGCGATCGCGCGATGAATTATGCAAATTCACGAGCATTTGCAATAACGCTGGCGCCGAGGCGACGATGTATACAGGATTATTCAAAATAAATATTACATTTTAGATAGAAGTAGTTTCCTTGGAAGATGGTTTGCTATGCAGCTTCGTTTTTTCAACTTTTTACAATTAAATCTCTTTCAGACAGCTTTTTAAAATTAGTGATTCTAATCATAGATACGCCATATTATCTTTCATGCTCTAGATAATAAAATTATGATCTTGTTGAAAATCTTTCAACAGCTCAAACTTCTGTTAATATTTTAATGGGTTGAATCGAACGGGACACGTGTCAACTGGACGGAGATTGAGGTTTCCGAAAATCAAAGCAAACCTTGTGAACCAAACTGAATCCCGTTCCAGCGATCCAGATCGATCGTTGGGATCGCAACACGGCCGACACGTCGGTCGACGAAATTTACTATTCGCTGATCGGGAGAGGTTAAACCTTCATCGAGTCATATCTCGTCTCAGGATTTGGCCAGGCGTTCGTTCGTCCCTGCTCGCTGTCGTTGTAACTTGCAACGAGCTGTCGTGCTGCCGCGACCCGGAACTGGCCAACACAATGTCGGCCCCGCTCGCTGCAATTTACTGCTGATGGCAGGTAATTCCGACGGCTGATAATCGCGGCAGCATCCGGCGACCGACTGATCCGCACAATAAATACGGATACCTGGCCAGTTGGTGATTAATGATCGCCAAACATTGGTTCACCTACGAATTTCCAATATTTGCGACTTTTTTCTTGAATCGTTCGAATCTTCGCATTATGAGGACCCTTGTAATTGTCTCCATTGCGATCTTCTGCCTAGTTTTTCTTTGTTCAGGTAAGAATATAGCAATTCTCGTAGTTCTATGATTGGCGACTTTGTTTTTGAAGATGATAGGAGAAGAAAATACTTTAAGAAAAAGGCTAGTGAATTTACCAGTCTTGCTCAGTTAATATTGTAACGAGTACTATACTTTAGATGTTTTATATATGTTTGAGTGTTACGTGCATTATGTATAGCTTTGCATCTTTAAATTTCCATCAAATACACGAAAATGCTAGTTATCGTAGATTTAGATATCGTACGATGTACATCCACGGAGTCCAATCGTAATAAAAGTACATTTCCAGCGTGTTCACGTAGGTACCATAGAGATACGATAACGTTCTACGCGAACGTGAATGCAACATTTGTTTGTTATCGTTCTATAAGAACTGAGGACATTTTTAGCTTACAGAAACTTGGCTCTCTTCTTAACAGACCGAAGCAGTTCCCCAATTGCAAATTGTAGATTTAATGAACAAATTCGGTGGCCAGGACTCGCTGCTTCGCACCATGACGTCTCTAATGAGTTTGTACACGAGTCTGACTCAAGAGTTTGGGACACTGATCAGACAGGGGAAAAGCGTCAACCAAGCCGTTCCAGAGCTAATAAAACTGCTACCAAGTATGATGTCGTAAATTTCAAGTCGGCCGGCTCGTATCGTGTCAACCTTGGCCTCTACATAGATTCGATGCAATAAAAAGTAGAAACACGGAGAAAGTGAATTTTTTTATTCGATAACAGCGAATGGAAGATGAAGTGGTTGATTCAGACGTGGCTGACCTCGGTCGCTGGGAAAGATAGCGAAAATTAAAATTTCAAGGTGAGCATGGAGTTGGAGTTGTAAATTAATGCGGCGCGAATTCAGTGGTGGAGCAGGAGAAAGGATGATGCTTGACTATCTTTATGAACGGTTATCGAAGTGGTCTCGAGCGGAATCGGCGTGTTGATTGGATGGAAGCTCGATCAAACGACGCGACTCCTCGAGACTCCACGTCGTGCGCGCCCTGTGTTCGCGATCGAGATCGCGACCGCTTTGCGTACAGTCGGCTGAAGAGTTCCTTCCACTTCCACTTTCACTCTGGCGATATGTCTAGAACCTCTTGCGTCAGATACGGAAATATATATTTCAGAAAATATTGAAGCATCCAATTTGAGTATTTATCACTTGCAGGATGAAATCACGGTACTTGAATTAGGAACTTAAATTGAAGATTTACGTCTACACGATGAAATTAAGCAATTTAACTTGCTCGAGTTCGATCTCCAACTAAGGAATAATTTGCAGGAATCGAAATTCACTATTCCACATTTATATTTCGAAGTTCTCTTGGTTACTCGTTTCTTTTTTATATGCTGAAACCAGTGTATACAAATTCAGCTGTGAAGCGATTTACAAATTCCGCCGTGTCTGTGTCATCGCGTATCACAAATTGCGCGCGGTTAATCGAAGAGACTGGAGCTCTGACGAATTCTAGCGAATCGTAGCGAAAATTTCACGATGTCGGAAAAGCGAGCCGCGAAATCAATTTAGCGAAACAGCGGCTGCGTGTCGGATAAAATAGCGACGACGGATCTCCCGGGAAATTTAGAACTCGACCCTTCCAACCCCTTGCGTTCCTATTTTTCCCGGGGTTGACGCGAATCGAACAACACGGACATTGAACTTCGCCGCGGTTCAACGACTAGTTTCGTCGACTGTACCACGCGTAACCAGGTGCAACGCGACGCTCAGACGTTCTGGAGCACCTACCACTCGGCCGCGACTGCGGAGGGTAGGTAAGAGGGTAGGTTGCAATCCCCGTCGCGTAGTCTGCCACTCTCAATGCCGCGCTGGTAATAACGAACTCTGAGCAAAAAAAAAAAAACGTCAGCGAGTTTTCGCGGCGAACGTTCCTTCCTTAACTCGACGATGCTATTGTGGATATTAGACGGGTTTGGAAACGTGGTACAGGGGGTAAATCTTTTAGACCGGGAGGGATTTATTGGAGTAGATAATAGGGAATATGAATGTTGTTTACCATTTGTTTGCTATCCGTTTAGTTTGCCAAGCGAGTAGCGTTTAACGTTAACGTAGGAACTTTGTTCGTGTTTTTTAACAACAGTTAGATTAATACAGATTAAATACGGTTAACAAAGTGAACGAAACAAGCGTAGAATTCCATAATAGAGGCGATACGCTCATAATTTCTTTGATAATATCGTAACACGTAAGTTTTTATATAAATGGAGAAAAATTCTTGAAAAAATTTGAAATCAGCAAAGTGATGACTTAAACCTTTCCCAATTTTACGTGGACTACGTTATATTTTAAAGAAGTGCTTAACTTCGACGTCAAAGAGTGATCGAACAATGAAAAGAAATCAAGAAATTTGCTTCTTGACACGATTCCATTAAACCAAATAATTTCCCTAGAACGAATTAGATTATGTTTCCACGAAAGTTGCACATTAGCTTTCAGATTTAAACCAAAGCCACTCTGGGTACAAATATCTAAGATATTCCTGAGTCTGCATATCCTAATATTCCAACAATTCGATTTACGACCATGTAACGATACTTAGAAGCTACGCAATTTAAACAAACGACTCGGTTCCTTCGGTGGAGGATCAGGAGCGAGAAGATGGTATAGGGAATGGGAAACGCGTCGCAGGTGCAGTCTGCGAGCAAGGACGAGGACGGTGGTTACAGACGGATGGGAGCGGGCACGACGTTAAGCTCGAGGGTGGAAGAAACCTCGCACGGAGGGGGTAAGCGAAGTCTCGTTAAAAATACACGCGTGACAAGATCCTTTACACGGCGCGACTTGGTCGCGTGCTGTAGCCAGAGAGGCTGTTTTATGGCCCAGCACTCGTTAGTAATTGAATACTTCGCCGAGGAGGAAACGCGCCGGCCGACATTGTTGTTCGTGGCTTCTGTCTCGCGCTATTCGCTCAGCTACGCCAAACGCGACGATACTCGCACCTGCTCGATGTTCTACCATCGCTTTTACAAGGAGATTTCTGGAGAAAGTGTCTACTTTCCTATGTGATAACTTGCTTGTAGACTCTTTGGAAGCAAATTGTAGAAAGTGGTGAATTTGTAAACTTCTTGAACTTTGCGCTGACATTGACAGAATAAAAAGTCTTTACCAAGGTTCATAGAGACTGATTTTTGTTTGTGAGTCCTGTAAGAGGAAATTCCTTTGTTACATAGCTTGCGACGCTATACGATGCCAGCTGTAGGTGTAAAACTTTTGTCTAATACATGTACCAATTTCTATGATTGCATCGAATCTATCCGAAATGATCGACCAGGTTTGTTTTTTGCTCAAAAGCAATTTTCCGAAAGACAAACAACATTTGAGGTGTTGTTTTATTGATATGAAGAACCTGGTTTAGTTTACGCTTAGAGTCTTTCTGCTTTTTACCTGAGTGAAATTCAATGGAATTATAGTAAAGCCAACGAAATATCAGTGAAATTGCCAAAGTAATTAATACGTACTTAGGTAAAACACAAAATGTACTTTTTTCATTACTGCGATGGCAGAAGAAGAAGAAGAAGAAGAAGAAGAACGTTTTCGCGTTTCAGGGAAACATTAGGCTCGGTTTCGAGCGTGGAAATTCGATAAGGGCAGCCCGCCTGACCGGCCAATAATTCTGCGGCGATGCTTTTGCACAGACTTCCGGCGAGTCGCGATATATCAGTCCGGCCGAGGCAAGCCGGAACCGGAAACCGTCAATCATAGGACTAAGTTAACGCGGAGTCCGCTCTACTCGCTCAGAGAACCGCCGCGCTATATCGTAACGCAAACTATTTTATGGACCCTTCTCCATCTCCCTTCTACCACCCACTCTACCTGGTTCCTCCTTCCGTGTCGAGCCGCCTTTCCTCTCATTCCCAAACGTATACACTCACGTATACCCACAAGCCATCGTCATCCCCCTAAAATATACTTTCGAGCATGGAACATCGATTTTTTCATAAATAACCGCCCACCTGGCTACCCCCAGCCGGTAAATCTCTCAATCTGGCTATCCTCATCCCTAAACTGCGTCTGGTTAATTCCATCGGACCGCTGTAAGCCTGGATATTGGGGCGGAATCTTCCCGAAGCAACGTGTCTCCGCTTCTAACGGCCTATGTTACGGTTCTTTGATGTACAGCCCAGAATTTTTATATCGGTTATGGTTGGCAATATGTAAGAACGTTTCCAGGGATAGAATATGGGTTGAAGATTGGCTAAACTGGTAAGGAGGGTTATAAATGTGTTGGAGTCGACGAATACACACTCATCGGTTAACACACTCATTGTTAGGAAACTATAAATTTATTAGCATGCGGCATAATATTACGTAATGAAAAGCTAACAACAACGTGTTAGGTATTGAGAAGAAGCAGGGTACGAACAATGACCAATGAATATAAACCTACAGTATTACAATATTCTAAATAAAAAAAGAGAAACATCGTGGAAGAATTGAAAAAGGAATATATGATGGATTCGATGAATTCAAAGTGACGTTGATTTTTTGATATTTGAACGAAACGAAGGTGAAAGAGCGTTGATTACGGAGGAATATTCGTGGGAAATTGAAGAAGTTGGCGCGTGGTAGACCCGGGCTTGATCTATCAAGGAACGTGGCCTGAATAATTGCGCCGATGGGCTCGGTTTGCCCTCGCAGGCTGAAAACGGGCCGTGCTATTTTCTTGCTCATAAAGGTCGAAATTTTACGGAGCGTTTTACGCCCGGTCATTAGCGAAATCGGTGCGGCGGTAGCTTACGTTCTCGCTTTTACGGGCAACCCTTCCGCCTCGGCCACACTGAGAAAATAAAACCAGGGCGTCTCGTAGCCGTTTCACTTTTAATAGAAACTCGGTCCGTTCATCGTCCGAACGAAGAATATAAAAAGGGAAGTGAAAAAAGGGGTAGGAAGTGCGCGTATAACACAGTATCTATAGGTTGTCGATACTGTTGCACGCTTAGAGCGTCGTTGACGTAAATAGAGTGCGGAGATCGTAAGTTAAATACGATCGAGCCTACTCGAAGGCCCGTCTCGAGAGAATGGATCTTGCACGTGACGGCTGTTCGTTTTAGCAACCATAGAATCTTACAACTTCGCCTAAGCCTTCTTTTAACGCGTCTCGTTTTTCTTGGAAAAACAGTATTTTCTTTTAATTCCCCAATTTCAACTTTAGTTTAAAAAAGTTGCAGTATAATTTCGACGCTAAATGAAACCATAGTAATAACACGATATAGGATAAGATAACTCAATGACTTGTAACGTTGGAGTTAATTGGACATATGTAATGTTCCATATTTTTCCACATTAGAAAGTTCATTTTCCCATTTGTCTTTATTTTATATATCTGCACTTCGAAATCCTAGTGGTCCTGATTGTGACATTTGAACTTCGCGTCAACCATTTGCTATAAACAATCACAGGAAATTCCTATTCCTACAATAGTTTACCAAAATGAGCACGTATGTTCGAACAAATTACCAAGTTTCGTTTCCATGTGGCGGATTCGTGACAAATTTGTAGCGACGTCGCGTCGGTACGTGAATGAGAATGAAAAAACCCATCCGGGTACCGGTCTATCCAGGATGGCTTCTTGAAAAACGGTGATCCCCGGATTCGATCCGGCGGTATTCAATCGGATACCATCTCTGTCGCTAATCCCACTTTTGATGGAAACAAAATTGGCCGGCGCGGTGCGGCGTGCCGGGGCCCGGGGCCG